GAAGGCGCGGGGACTCGTCATCGTCCTCCACGTGCTCCAGGACATCTCGATGCAGATTCCGCTCCACGATGGTGGTGCCCCTGGCGGCAGAAGAAAATTTCTCGGTTTCGGTTTCGCTTCTTTTTTCTTTCTCTCCGTTGGGCTCAGTGGGTCAAAACCTGGGCGGGGGGCTGTGGGCACGCATCCTGGTTTAAAGGTTTGGGTCTCAGGGAATGTGCTGGAATGAACCTCCCCAAAAAGCAGAAAGGGACCTTTTGGGAGGTTGGGCTTTCTGCAAGCACTGTTTTTAGCGTTTCTCAGCTCTTGCTTATTGGCTCAGTATTCTTGTTGTGGTGTGGGCTTTGCAGAATTGTGCATTTTGGGGACAGTTCCACACTTTTTTTGGGGTCGGGCTCACAAAATGTGAGACTGTCGCCAAAAAACCAATCCTTGCAAAGTTTTGAGCTCTTGGCCTGCCCAAGACCCCCGGGATTGTGCTTGTCTGTTTGTTTGTTTGGCGGGGGGGGGAGGCAGTCTTGAGATTTTTTGGGGTTCGGGCTTTGCAGAATTGACTTTTTGGACAATGCGAGACTGTCCCAAACAAACAATCCTGGCAAGCCCAGAGTCCAAAAAGCCAAAAAAACAATCCTGCAGAGTCTTCTATTTAAATTATAATTCGAATATTGACCTGAATCTCTTAAGAAAAGAAAGCATCTTTAATGTATTTTGACATGTGAACTCTACGTAAACTCTAATTGACATCCTCAGAAGTAAAAGGGAGCCTGCTAAAGTTATAATTGAAGCTAGCTACATTGCTTGTTGGCATTCTTTCCCTATTCATTTGTTAAAATATAATCAAGAGATTGAGCAAATCCTTCTGGGAAAGAACCCCTCTTTAAAATCCAATTTGATTTAACAATTTCAATTACACTGTAGTTTACATGTTTAACAAGGACACCATACTGAAATTCTAATTGAAACTATAACTTTTTCTAGGATTCTGTTTGTATTAGTTGCTATTTGAAATATGATTAAACACATGGGCAAGGAACTATGTTTGAATTCTAATTGGAGATGTCCAATTAAAACCTAATTGACGTCCTCTTTAAAAAGGAAACCCAAATTAACTTCTAACTGAAGCTAGAATTTCTACTAGAACTCTGTTCTTACTGAATTCCATAGTTTTTTGGATTAAACATGAAAACACCTTTAAATTCAAACTGGAAATTACACAAAACTATTTGACATGTGTTTGGATGAGTCACATAATTGAACAACTCCTCCTGGGAAAGGACATCACCTCCGAAATATGATTTGGAATAAGAGTTCTAATTAAATTCTAATTGAAGTCATCTTTAAAGAGGAAAGGCTGTCCCAAGTCTAGTAAAAACTAGAATTTCTAAATAGAATTCTGTCCTTTCAAAATATATTAAGATTATAATTAAAAGATTAACCAGGTCATCCTGGGCAAGGACATCGCTTTAAACATCTAATTTGACAGACGAGCTTTAATCATAACCCATTTGCAACCCGTTTAATTTAAGCAAGGAAGTGATATTCAAATTCTAGTTAGAACTAGACATTCTACTAGAATTCTGCCCTTTTAAACTCTATGTAAATTATAATTAGAAGATTGAACAGGATCCTGAGAAAGGACATCATCTTGAAAATCACGTTTAAAGTAAGAAGTGCAAAGAAACTCCAGTTGAAGCTAGAATTTCTACTAGAACCCTGTCCTCAACACATGAAAAGCCCGCCTCAGCAGATTCACACCACAGTGGATGCAGTATGGTTCCAGCAGAGCTGCCAAATAGTTCAAACCAGGATAGGAGGTGGTGTTGATGCAAACTAGCCAGGTGATGCAGAACCAAGTTGACCGGCATCATTGACCAAAACTGCCTTGTAGAAAACCCAGCCTCCCAGGAGGTCCCACTCACCCCAAAAAACGTACGTGGATTACATAGGGAATCCCAAGCAGCGTACCAGCCAAGACGGCAACTCATGTCGATCCCAAAGCTCCATCTAAAGAAAGGGAACCAAAACCCTATCTCTACCAAAGGGTTCCAAAACCTGTGGCGAGGAGATCCAAAGGGCGGATAGAACCAACTTCTTGGCAAGAACACAGTTCTCCCTACTTTGACTACCCCAGCTTTTGAGAGCTCGAATGAAGTCAAGGGATGGATCCCCACATCCAGACCAGTAGGATGTATGTATTTTGGTCCGTGTCACCCCAACTGGCAGGGTCCGTTTTTTGCAACGGGTAAACCTCAGGAGCATCTCAACCCCGGTGAGTCGGCGACACATCTGGGCCCCCAGATAAAGAGGAGCCACAAAATCCCAAACTGGTCAACTATGGGTTTCCTCTCAGCCACCAACTCGTGGATTCCCTGCCCCCCCAAACAAGGGCTAGCCAGGTGCTGAGAACGTGTGGTTCACGTGCCTCAAGGCTCTGAAGTTGGTGTCCTGCGATTGAGCGATCGACGCAAAGCGCGGCGACTGAGATGCGGGAGACAGCCTGAGGATTCTAAGCCAAAGGATTCGTGCCCCAAATGGCGGTCCCAAATGGCCACAACTTTTCAGGGATGTTGGTCGACTTTGGCCAGCGAACCACCATTTTCTGAAAGGTAGACAGGTGGCCGTCTTTCCAACATTGATGGGGGCCGACAGGATGGTTTTGGAAGACTACAGCTTCTATAGGATGGCATTCATATCTAAACGGCAAATATCGTGATGTGTCGGGACCAGAAATGATGGATCGCTCACTTCTTTCTTGGGCCGGCCCGGAAATCTGTTTGAGAGTGCAAGCCTGACAGAGAATTCCCTGAAGGACAAACAACCCACAACAAAGCTTCTGGAATAATCCACGCTAGAAACCCCGCAGACTGCGGGAATGTTAAAGTGACCAGCCTAGCCCCGTCGGGCCGACGGCACGGAAAGATTGGGTCGTGCGGCGTGCCAAAGGTCGTTGACAACGGTCGGTCTTTCCATCGGAAAGTCGAAAGGGAGGAGCATCAAAAGTCCAATGACTCAACTCGTCGGCCACATCGTCCTGTTCTCGAAGGTGCGTCACGTCTTGCATGTGAAAACTGTGCAGCACAGATTAAGGCGCTCCAAAAAGTACGTAGAAGCGGTGAAACCTCTCATTTCGGGCCAATAATCTTCATTTCAGCCCGTGGGAGGGCTGGATTTGGCGTCCCATTTTCCGTGACACAACACACCCAGCACTCGCCCCAAGGCTCCTCTTCTTCCTTGCCGTTCGTTTCCTCGACCTGGGCCCAAGCGCGCGTGGGTGCGAAGAAGCGCGAAATTGCAGAAGCTGGGTTGTCTGCTGTTCTCTGATCCCATACGAGTGACTACGCTTCCTCCTGACGTGGCACCTGTGGGACCTGGAAGATCAATTTCCTTTTGGAGGGACCCCCTGGATGCCATCTTAGTGGGAGAGGGGGTAACTTTTAGTGGGTGAAATGGAAACCCAACCACTAAACCCGAAAAAGAAGAAGAAAAGAAAACATCATTCTGGGCATGGCTGGGAACCGCCAAGGAATAGGAGCCGCATGGCTGAATTCCACGTTGCAAACATGCATCACATCAGAACTACCTCTGCTTTTTCCTCCTCTTTTCGGATTCTGGCAACCATAGTGAGCGGAGCTTAGAGTGTGTAGAATGACATCAATGTCATTGGGCAGGCTTCCTTTGCTTCCGACTTACCAACAAAAAGGGCTCCGTTTAGAGCCACCTGCGCATCAGAATCCAACTTAGCTTCACACTTCTGGCGCCTCCTCTTCCTCGAAAGTAACACTCTTTGCCTGACAATTGGGCGAGAGCCACAGCTTTCAACATGTCAACGGTGGGCATAAAGCCTCGGCTTTGTGCCCCTGGCTCTGAAAGTGAGCCTATGGAAATGCACCCCACGCTGACCGTAGACAACAGGATATGTGGACAACAAACCTGAGGTGATTCCTGGATCCCTTGCTAAAGCTAAACTTTTAGAGGGGGTTCGTGGGGATATGTCACACCCAACACAAAACATCTGAAAATGCCTATGGGCATGGTTGGGAAAGGCCAGGGAATGGGAGACACATGGCTAGATTATTTGTGCTCCCTTTGCGTCAAATAGCCCCCATTCTGAGACAAGCCCCAGGAAACGAGCACTCTTTGGCTGTGCGCATCCTCAATTCCACGTTGCAAACATGCATCACATCAGAACTACCTCTGCTTTTTCCTCCTCTTTTCGGATTCTGGCAACCATAGTGAGCGGAGCTTAGAGTGTGTAGAATGACATCAATGTCATTGGGCAGGCTTCCTTTGCTTCCGACTTACCAACAAAAAGGGCTCCGTTTAGAGCCACCTGCGCATCAGAATCCGACTTAGCTTTACACTTCCGGCGCCTCCTCTTCCTCGACAGTAATGCTTGCCTGACACTCTCCAGAGAGCCACAGGTTTCAAGATATCAACCGTGGGCGCTTTGTGCCCCTAGTTCTTTGCGTGAGCCCATGGAAATGCACCCCACACTGACCGTAGACAACCGGATATGGGTATGGGTCAAAATTAAGCCACCGGGGGACCGCTGGATTTTTTCTGTGGTTCCACTTGCCAGGGTTCCATTTTGGGTACCTACTTTTGACTCACAGCCATATGCTGACAACAAACCTTGGTGATTGCTTGACGCTGGCAGGGCTGAGACCTCGCCTGCGTGACGCTCGGCAAGCGGCAGCCCGCGCTGCTGTTAGGGCGGTGCGCCTGCGGCTCTCGTAGGCCCTCCTCGGTTTCACCGAATTTTCTCTCTCTCTCTCTCTCTCTCTCTCCTTGATCCCTTGCTAAAGTTAGACTTTTAGAGGGGATTCGTGGGGATATGTCATACTCCACTCAACATCTGCAAACACCCAAGGGTATGGCTGGGAACCGCCAACAAACAGCATAGGAAACCATGCTGGTGCCGCAGCAGCGTGATACAGCAGAACCGACAACCCCTCCAGCAAACTCGACTTTACCTGCTCAAGAGTTCCATGGTTCGGATATGGGCGCGCAATTTAAGGGGGCACCCTTTCGTAGACGATTCATGTCCACCAGCCACTGTGGAGGGCATTCCGGCTTAAACATTCATAGCTATGCAATGTTTGCACTCTAGGGAAGCACATTGGAACACGGACGGCGTACGGACATGCTGCCAACATGAGCTGTGCCAATATGTGCTTCCGACCTGTGCTGCCTCTGCGATATGCATGAACATGCCGGCACGGCTGTTTGTTGATCGGCCTGGTGTCTCTGGCCTTTCGCAACGACTCCCACCCCCGGCTCCCCCCCCCCCCGCCCAAGAAAAACACAAAAACCTGGGGTCGCAAGTGCGGTCGCAAGCAAAACCAAACCGCACGTTTAGACTACCTTTCAAAAGTCGCCCCGCCCAAGGGGAAAAAAAAACAGGGGTCGCAAGTGCGGTCGCAAGCAAAACCAAACCGCACGTTTAGACTACCTTTCAAAAATCGCCCCGCCCAAGGGGAAAAAAAACAGGGGTCGCAAGTGCGGTCGCAAGCAAAACCAAACCGCACGTTTAGACTACCTTTCAAAAGTCGCCCCGCCCAAGGGGAAAAAAAAACAGGGGTCGCAAGTGCGGTCGCAAGCAAAACCAAACCGCACGTTTAGACTACCTTTCAAAAATCGCCCCGCCCAAGGGGAAAAAAAACAGGGGTCGCAAGTGCGGTCGCAAGCAAAAACCAAGCCGCACTTTTTGGACTGCCTTCCAAAGTTGGGGTCGCCAGCAATTTCAAAGTGTTTCTTAAAGCGATTGTTTCAATCCTGTTCCTATTTGTTAGCAACTTAAAAGTGTCTCTTGGAGCGACTGTTTCAATCAAAGCCCCAGCCTGCGGCTTCTCCGGCGTCTCGGCTTCTTTCGCTTTGGGCTTCGTCGCTCTCATCACCTGGCGAGCAAAAACCGACCCCAACGATCCCTTCAGGCTCAAAGATCCCAATCCCCGAAGCCGGGATCGGGTTCGGTGAACCTCCCAAAAAGCAGCCCCCCGAGATCGCCCAGTTGCGATCGCTTCTTTCAGTCACTGCTGCGATCGGTTTTTGGGTGGTAAAGCTAATGGAAAAAAAAAGCGATCGCAACTGGCGATCCAGGCCAGTTCTTTGTAGAAATTGGCCATAGACTTGATATGGCTGTGGGTCAAAAGCCAAAACGTACTGCTGGTGAACATCCGATGCAATCCCCACAAAATAGACAAAATGGGTGGTGAATTCACCTTCCCCAAAATGGTACCATTGGTTTTGACAGCCATCTATTGACCGAACATCAATTGAGGTCCGGCACAGTTCCCTCAGGCGGATGGCAAAAGGAGGTCAAAGGGAGACCGACCATGTTTTGGGTGTCCATTCTTTAGGACACACCAAACAACAATAAATCACTTGTCAAAACGTCAACAAAACGCTTTGTCAAACCTCCACTCCTTCGTCTTCAGCTTTGAGGGTAAGCTTCAGGTGAATTTAAGGCAGGGTCAAAACACAGGTTTCCCTGAAGGACTTGGGTGACTTGGGACATGTTGGTTTCGTCCCTTGGCATAGCTCCTCTCGTGTCCCGAATGCCAAATGCACTGTCGACTGCACATCTTGACTGAGCCTCATGCGTGCGACAAGTAGATTCTGTGGGCCATGGTCATGGGAAACTTGCTAGGAATCTTAGAATAAGGCTACCCTTTTTCTGTCTTCTATTTGAGTAGGGGAACCCTCCCCCAAAAAAGAAAGTAAAAGAGCACTGCTGGGGGACCTAGCTAGACTTCCTGCTAAAGGCCAACCCCAAATTCAAGTGAGCTTGTCTGTTGTTCCCCTTTCTTCCCAAAAAACACCAAAGGGTCCGAATCCAGGCAACACTCCGCGCCTCGCCGGGCTCCAAGCGCTGCAAGAGGCTGTCAAAGGTCTTCTGCAAGACCTCGGTTTGGGCGGGGACTCCGCACTCCGGGCCGCCGGGCGGCCTTTTTTTGTGTGGCTAGTCCAAAAACAGGGGGGAACCAATACATGCAACCCTGGATTTTTTTGGAAACAAGGACTCAGACCTGCGGTCCCTGGTCTGGGCCTGAAAGAGGTGTTGGTTTCAGGTTTCAACCCTTTTTTTGGTTTGGGATGTATCGGTTCCTGCCCACCTCCGGAACCCATACCTTAAATGCTTTGCTCAAACTTGCCTTCCAGCCATCAAGTCATGGAAATACGGAATCCCTCAAAAAGGAGTGCTTTCCCTTCAAAAATAAAACCAAAAGAACGCCAAAAAGAAACACCAAAAGGGGGGGGGGTTCCAACCGGTCGCTTCCCCACCCACTCCCCCGCGGATTTTTCGGGCAATGCCAAAACAAGCGGCCGCTTGCTGGGACTGTAAAATCTGCATACGGTCCACCGAGCTCTTCTGCAAGTCTTTGATCCTGCGGAAGTTGGCCGGACTTTCGCGCGGAACGTCTGTTGGTCCACCAAGCATGAAGGACATCGCAGAATTGATTCTGGCAGTGAAGTAGTGAACAACCATTGTGTATTGGATGGAAATGGAATGATCAATCCAATGATGACCATCACATAGTTAGGAATGAAGCTACAATAATTCCCCAACCCGGAAAAATACCGGCACCCCCCACAGCAAAGGACCTTTACCCCGAGCTCCGAAGCAGGCCTAGCTGTGACGACGGAACACCCCTCCACGATATGGACCACCCCGCGTTTTCTAGAGCGAATTTGGGGAGTGTGCCGAAAGTCCTTCCCTCGACTACAGTTGATGCTCATGTCCTAGACATGGCCCTTCTCTACATTCTAATATAGAAAGATTTCCAGGGGTGTGTCTTAAACTAGGGGAACCCCCAAAAAAGGTGAGTGCCCTTTTGTTTTCCCTTCGAAACCACTCTAGAAGGGTAGTCCAAAAGATCACACTCCCACAGGGTTCTCCATATGCCTTTAGACATCACCCTATGGGAATCTTGACCAAAATTGGCATGGGCGATATTTCATCCACACAAAAGGGGATTGCAGGGGCCCGTGCGCCGCACGACTCCCAGCGCGCAGGCAGTTCCTATTTCCTCCTGAATCTTATCCCATGGCTTCTTCCTGGTTGGGTGGAAGGAGCAACCTCTCTCTCTCTCTCTCTCTCTCTCTCTCTCTCTCTCTCTCTCTGTGCTTTTGTTTTGGAGACGTACCGGTTGGTAGCGGTGACCCCGTAAAAAAAGAGAAGCAGTTGCCACGCATTTTGTTTACGGCGCGCACTTTTAGCAGGTAATGTCCCCCCAAGAAAACGCAACACACCCACACACCCACAAACAAACAAACAACAAAAAAAAAAGAAAGAACCAACACAAAACAGGAGGAGGAACACCAGACATACCCGACAATTGACATACCCGACCATTGACACCTCAAACCTCCAAAAAAATGATCAGCCGATTGAAACGGCCCGAGAAAGCCGTCAAGCAAAGGACGTCAGCCGGGAACTCCCAACAATTGTCGTTTGCGTCTCCGTTTTCGAACCTCTGTTTTTGAAGGAACCTGGATCGATCCAGTTGCGATCGCTTCTTTCCCCATTAACTTTACCCTCCAAAAACCAGCAACAGTGACTGAAAAAAGCGATCGCAACTTGGCTATCTAGGAACCTCTATTCTTGGGGCTGTCTTGCAGGAAAACCCAAAGGGAAACCACGGATTTGGGGGAGTTACCACGAGTGCGCCGGATCAATCCTCTGGAGCTCCCCGGAGAGGATTTCGGAGTCCATCTTCGGGATAAAACGCCTGTGGAAGGCGATACATGTCTCTCTGCCAATTTCAACACAGAAAAGGTAGATCATGGGGGGAGCTGACCATATATATCTATATATTTATATGTATATATATATATATGTATACATATTCTATACTCACCGACACCTTAGAAAAACACTTAAAACAGTTGCATAGTGGCGGCTTTTGTTGCGGCTGATGCGATTGCGCCCCTTCTCCCTCGCTTCCAGGGTTGACCACTCTCAGGCCGGCACGCGGCCGGATTCGAAGCCACCGCCAGGGGCTCTGGGGCTCTGGGGCTCAGCGCCACGGAGCGCGAGTCAACTTCTGCGTGGCACATGAGTCGCTTTGGTGGATCCTCGTGTTTTGATTGGGGTCAATTCTGGAGGGCTTGCAAGCGGCATTTTTTTGCGGTCTCGACGCGGGGCTGGGAGCCCAGGCTGCGGCACAGGGCGCGAGCATCACAAGGACGTGCGTCAAGATGGGGCCACCCCAACAAGAAGGATGATTTCCTTTTGGTTTCCTTTTAACAGCCCCAAAAAGGAGGTACCCCGACAAAATGCTTGTTCCAGTCAAAGCCTGACCGCGCGAGCTTCACCGTACTTGTGAATGCCTGCATCCTTCATGCAAGCTGGATGAATCACTAAGTCAACTGTTGAAGGGAGAATGAATCTTCATGGGGGACACTGTCCGAGCGGAAGGACACACATCCCCTTGTGTCCAGCTGTCCCCAAGGGTTTCTCAACATGGGGAACCCTCCTGTCCCCATGGGTGTCCCAACATAGAGAAAAACAAATCCCCCCCCTCCCCCCCGAAAGAGCAAGCGTTTGGTTTCCTCGCAGATTTCCCTTTCAATCTCCGACTCCGTCGAATCCGTCGAGTCGCCTTGGAGAAATCCAGCTGCTTCACGGCGAAGGGGTCCACGTAACCGCCAAAGGCCACCTGATGCGGATCGGATCCGCTCCCATGAGTTCTCGAAAGGGAAGCTGACGGCTTGGGGGGGGGAAACGCAGAGAAGGAACCGCCCCCATTTTTTGTTCCGTCCTCTGCTTCTTCTCTTTTTGCTTCGTTTTGTTTTTACCTTCTTTTTTTTTTGCGTGTTTCGACCATCGTTTCCTCCTTTTCTGCCATTGCCATGTCCGGTATGTCCGTGCTTTTGCTGCCTGGAGTCTGGAGTGGCCCTCAACAAATCAAACTGCGCATCCCTGGATTTTGGTTGCAATGACCCCATTCTGGCTGTGTCTCAAACTAGGCGACCCCCCAACAAACTGGCCTTCCATTTG